AGCCACTCCTCGGAAGGAAGGTTGGGCAATCCTACTTCCGTAGTGATACTGCCTCGGAAACCCAAGGAGGGGTCGCTATGAGTCGGGGCCGACTCAACGGCAAATAATAACAACAACAACAATGGCACAGAAGTCCCTTTGCCCCAGGGATCTCCTATACCTGTAACCAGGATACATCCTCTTAGGATTCCTTTCCTCACTCTCAACTATTTTTTACCTCCCCTCAAGAGCCAGTGAAAAAGGTGAAGGCCCTCAACAAGATGGACTGATGCACTGGCTGCAACCATAGGCTCAGATGAGGAAAGGATTGTGGGACTGGCACAAGACCGGGCAGTGTTTCATTGTGTTGTACACAGGGTCACTATGAGTCAGAGCCGACGCAACGACACCTAACAAAATCAACAACAAGGGCCAGAAGAGCAAGGTTGTTTTCTTTATACTTTACTCTGCTTTCTGTCACAGAGCAGCAAGCTTAATCGCCTGTCATGAGCATTGGCCTAATTATCACCTTCTTTATTCCACTGGTGTTCAGAGTGGGGTGTCCTGATTCCTGAAAGTATACAATGACTTCTCAAAGTGCCTGTACATAAATAGTTTTAATCAATAAATTTCTTGAATCAGTTTTCAAGTGTACCAAGCTTTACCCAACTCCCTTTTTTCAATAGTTTTTTTCCCCACATTACTAAAAACAAACATTCCATTTTATTGTCCTATTAGTTATATACAATGTAACATCAGGATTACAAGAAGATTCATTAACAACCTACAATATGCAGATAACACAACTTTGCTTGCTGAAAATGAAGACCTGAAGTACTTACCAATGAAGAATAAAGACAATATGGATTACACATCAACATAAAGAAAACAAAGATCCTCATAACTAGACTAATAAACAGCATCATGATAAATGGAAAAAAGATTGAAGTTGTCAAGCATTTCATTTTATTTGAATCCATAATCAATCTTCATTTTATTTTGTATAAAATGTTTAATATTTTCTACTTACTATTAACAAAAAAAGAAGACAAATAAATGAAGAGACTCAATATTTTAAAATACCAATTCTTCCTAGATTAATACACACATTGAACGTGATTTCAATTAAAATAAAAGGAAGCTTTGTAAGTTCACAAAATGATGCCAGTTCTGAAAAGAATTAAATGTAAGAATAGGTGGAAAATAATAAAATAAGTTAATATATATTAATTCATTTATTTACAAAGCTATAGTAATGAAAACAATATGGCAGTTACATAGAAAAAGCAACAGTGAGGCAGGCTAAGGAGCCTAGAACAAACTCTATGTTGAACCCAACCCCGCCAGGTACTAAATGAATAACAAATTGTTTCGCCTCTCTCTGCTAAGGTTCTTCATCTATAAAATGAGAACAATAATAATGGCACCTAACTCATAAGAGTTGTGAGGATTAAATGAGGTAATATATGATAGGTAAAGAAGTCGGGACAACATGTGGCTGTACAAAGCTGTGATTATACGTCATAATTATCATCATTAGTTTATGCCACTGTTAATTGGGTTTCCTGTAACTGGTCCATGAGCCTCATGCACCCATGAGAATCACAAAAGGATTTGTTTATGGAATTTAACAAGCAAGTTATAAATTACTGCAGTGTAGTAAATTACTGAGTATGGCTTTTTTACCCACAAGTCATTGTAAACTCAGTGGTGGAATGAGCAACTGAGGAGCTCCTGATTGTAAATGTTATCCACCTGGGTTATTCCTGGTGGCATGGCACAATGCAATGTTATGGGAGGATCACTCTCAGGTGCTTAGAATTCTGTTGTTTAATTGGTTGGTTTGGCCACTCTACCAAGTTCAAAAGGAGGCCTCCTAGAGGCAGAACTCTCTCTGACTGCTGGTTGAGGAAGACCTGCTGCTGAAAGAGACACGGGCTCCTGAGACACATGTTGCTGGGAAAGAGACGCAAGAGACACACATCGCTGAGTGAGACACCGAGGGACCAGCACTGCTGGGAAAGAGA